GACACATCATTATATCCCTCCAGTACAAAAAACATCCCCACCTCCATCAAAGGGCACCCAGAAGTCTCACCCAGTTGTGGCATCAGGAAACATTTAGGACTCCATGATTACATATGGTCCAGATGTGAAATGGACCTAGGAACTAAAAGCACAAGCTACTGGCCCACCCCCTCCCACACCCACACAACAAGCAACACTGTAACAGAGACAGGATAATCACAATAGGCACCCCTATTCAAAACAAGGAAACTTGATCTTCAGCAAATCTGAAGTCCCTCTAGGCAAATTAGAAGAGTTCCCCTGCCATGGGAGTAGGAAGTGTTTCTTTCTCTCTTTTTAAAAAAAATTAATATATATATATTTTTAATTCTTTTTTAAAAAATTTTGTTGGAGTACAGTTGATTTACAATGCTGTATTAGTTTCAGGTATACAACAAAGTGAACCAGTTATACATATATCCACTTTTTTTTAGATTCTTTTCCCATATAGGCCATTATAGGAAGTGTTTCTTGATTGGATCGTGGTTCTGTTCCCATGGGAAAGGGAGGAGTGGATGGGGGAGGCGGTAAGGGTTGGGACCCACAGTCCATGCTCTCTACAGCTCCCGGCTCTGTCCCAAGATACCGTTGCCATCATGTTCCTCATTGCTTCTGAAGAGGATACTGAAAATTATACCTTTCTTTGGTGGCTACGTTTTCCCAGTCTGCTTCCCACCTGAAGAAAATTGGACACACTCAAAAAGTGTTTCAGTCTCTTTAGTTCAGGCTGGTAGGACTTTGGTAATATCACTCTCTCTACAACTTAGTGGGCTTTCTATGGATTTGATTGCAGTTCATTCCATGTGTCAAAATCACAATGTTTTTCAAGACACGTTTCTCTCCAGATTTGAATTACTAGCACTTTGGGCACATCCAGTGGCTGTGGACCCATGCCTCTGTCCAGCTGAAAGAGCTACAAAAAGTAATTTTGTCATATTTTGCAGTGTTACAGCCACACCCCTGATTGGGTCTTTGCTCTGAAGCCATGTTTTCTTGCAAGTCACCTGAATTTGGTCTTTGTCTTTCCTGTTATATAATTCAACAACCATTCCCTGGACTTAATCTTTGTCCCCAGGCTGTATCTTAATTTAAAAATCTTTTCCTGCCTAGACTGGCTGAAGATAACAGTTTTATTTTCTAAGTAGCAATTTCTGGGCTGCTTGCAAACTGTTCTTTTCTTTTGTTTGGTTTCTGTTTTGAGCGCATCTCTTCCTTGTAGTAACTTACTGTATGCATTTAAAAGCAAACAACTCATTCTTTCAAAAATTTTCTCTGTCTGCCCTTTCCTTTGGTTATGTTGCTCACTTCTTTGAGTGATTTTACCATGCAACAAATCAGTGGATGGAAAAATCCTAATATTTAGATTTGTTCACAGAGAATGTCCCACTTGGACCTTAAGACCAAATTTATCTGTACTAACCAACTCTTCTAGAACTCTGCTGAGAGGTATCAAGAACTGGTTCAGCCCTGAAGAAATATTAGAATTTTTAAATTGTACTATTTCTCCTGTTGGGACCCAATAGAGAGAAAAATGATAGAATAGGACTTGATCATTTCAAAAATTTTCAAAATCTTACCTTCATCCTTTGGAAGGGCCACAGCAAATTCTACTGGTCTGGAAGTATCTGGAACAAAATGCTACCATTTGTCAGCCCCAATATGGTGGAGTCATAGATCACCTGCTATTTGGTAGAGGCAGTAGATGGCAGAATGATCTGGTTCTACTTAAAGCAGCAGTCCCCAATCTTTTTGGCACCAGGGACCGGTCTCGTGGAAGATAGTTTTTTCACGGACCCAGGGAGGGGGATGGTTTCAGGATGATTCAAGCGCATTTCATTTATTGTGCACTTTATTTCTCTTATTATTACATTATAATACATAATGAAATAATTATGCAACTCACCATAATGCTGACAGGAGGCGGAGCTCAGGCGGTAATGCAAGCTATGGGGAGCAGCTGTAAGTACAGACAAGCTTCGCTAGATCGCCTGCTGCTCACCTCCTGCTGTGCGGCCCAGTTCCTAACGGGTACTGGCCCGTGGCCCGGAGGTTGGGGACCCCTGACCTAAAGCACTACACAGGTCACCTCAGACTCATGAATGCAAGGTTCTTCTAGAAAGAGCAAACAACCATTTTTTTTTGTATATATATTTTTTATACAACAGGTTATTAGTTATCCATTTTATACATATTAGTGTATATATGTCAATCCCAATCTCCCAGTTCATCCCACCACCACCACCCCGCCCCCCCCCGCCACTTCCCTCCCTGGTGTCCATACGAGCAAACCACCATTTTTTTCCACAAAGACTCTAGACTGATCTGCAAAGTTTATGACAGCGCCTAGGTCTATAGTAGATGGGTTAACTAACTGTGGCCCATTGGCCTCCACTGCAGAGCCAGTAAGGCCAAGGCTATAGACATTACAGACTCTTGCAAGACTTTGTCCCACTGGAGGCAAAAAGAGACTAATCCATTCAATGTACACAGTTTGTCTCCAGTAAAGATTGAGCTAAGCCTCTTACCAATGGAAATCCCTGAATGAATTCAGCTTCTAGCATGGGGCAAATGGACAAGGTCTTCCTAGAATATAGGGTAACGGAGCTGGCTTCAGTGCTCAACTCTACAGCGTCTGCAGGTCTAACTGGGGACTCAGCTTCCAATGGGTGCTGACCCTCCCTAAGTTCATGGAGGCTGTAGACTGGGATGACTTGGCCCAAATCATTCCAAAAAGGATCAGGTAGCCTCCTCAAACTGGACAGAGGGGCTCTTACTCGAACCCAAATGCTTGGGCAGAAGGCCCTGACGTATTGCCTTACACCTCACATATCAAACCTGGTGTAACTAGTGTACATAGAGTTTAACTTCCCTTGGAAGGCAGATGCAATTTCCTTACAATGTTTTCCTTGGGGCACAACTAGATGCTCTGGCTATAAACGTAGGGTACTGCTCACCTCTAGGCCTGCCCTAGGAGGCAGCTAATCATATCCTTGGTCCCAGACCCGCAGAAGTAGGTGTCACCTCTGGCTGTGCTGAAAGGAAGATGTTAGTCTATTAGGACCCAGAGGAGCATGGCAGCGGCAGTCAGAAGAGAAAGGCTCTGAGCCAACGACATTCATAGTCATAACTTGCATCTTTTCCGTGTGTTCCAATTGTTACACACACTTTATGTAGCTTATTATGTTTCCTTTCACAGTAACCTCCACTCTACAGATGGAAAGAAGCCTAGGTTCGAAGAAGTTCAATAACTTGTCTCGGGTCTCCCAGCTAGTAGATGGCAGCACCGGGATCTGAAGGCAGGCATTCTGTTTCCACATGGGATGTTATCTGCGGGGAGGGTCTTCAGCCACGTGTGATTCTCAGCCCTGAGGACAGAGATGTTAGTTGACTGCACCTTCATCCTCTTCGTGGGCACATGGCATCTGGAAATTTGAAAGCCTGTATCTTCACATGAACAGAGGCTCCCCCAGCCGCTTCTTGGAAGGAGACTGCAGTTTCCTCTGCCGAAGAGCCAACTCAAATGTTTGTTCGCAGCATCATTTTGAGCTGCCCAAGCTCACAAAGACTCCAGTGGACATTCCAGACTCATATCACTTAGACCACTGCAGAGTCGAATTCAGTCTGGAAATTTCAGCATCTTACGTACGGACTCTCACTTTGATAAGCACTGGCTGCTCCACCAAGAGGAATTAGCTATAAGTGATCTAACCGACCTACTAGTTGGGGTTTAGATTAAACACCTGAATTGTGGATAAAGTCTTGCAAATACAGTTGAAGTCATTTTTATAGTTGATTCTAAGGAGTAACACACAATGGGATCAATTACTTCTTGAGATATTTCGTAGGCTGTGAATATAAAATCATACTGCTAAGGAAAAGTGAGTTTTTCTAAAATACTCTGGAGTAAATTCAGCTGGAAGAAAAAGGAAGCCTTAGCCTTCACTGTTTTAAACCACTTAGAATTGAAATACGATGTGTGGAGAGACTGTTCCTAGTCACTCTGGTTCGTAGTGTGGTGTTGAAACAGATTTTGTTAAAGCATGAACAGCCTAGACTCTTAGCTGAACTTACACAGTTTGGCCCAAAGTTGACATGTGTCCTATGTTTCTAATATGCATGTGTTCCTACCTCAGTGAACAGCACTGTGAACACCAGAAACCTGGTCCCATGCCTATATCCAATCTCCAAGTCCTGATCATCCACTCATGTTAATCGAGCCTGACTCTACCTGCCTCTCTCCAACAAGGCACCACCATAATACAGGCCCCCATGCTCTCACAACCAAATTACCAAGTAGCCTGCCCGCTGACGCTCTTGACTCCATGGTCCCTCCTGCTCACTCACCCACACTGTGCTGCTGTGAGTTTCCTCAAATGTTTGAACCTCTTCCCCAGGTTGCTTAGCCTGGGTACACAGCCTCCTCATCTGCTGTGGCTCAACTTCCCCCCATCACACTCCACTCCAGCTACTTCAACCAACACCAGAGCCCAGATGCTTTCTTTTCTTCTCTGCTTAAGCTTTGGTTTTTGTTTTTATGTGCGTGGAATGCCCTTTCCCCTACCCCTGCCCCCAGGGAGAGGGAGGTATAGAGAGGGAGCCAGAGCTAGAACTGGAGATGGATGTGCAGACACACAAGTTGATGAGCACAGAACATGAGTGAGAAGGACACCCACCGAAACCATTCATGGGGACCCCTAAGGAATGGGGCTCCAGGGGGGATGTTAAGGAAGTGGTACTGCAGAATGTACCTTTTACTTTTGTATATTGTTTAGATTTTTCTAGAGTGAATACGTTTAACTTACCTCTATATATTTTAAATTACATTTTCCCATCCTCACCTCCAGAGATACTGATGCAGTGGGGAAGGGTCCAGGATTCTAATCTTCCAAAAACCCTCCATAGACTCTGTTACTCAGTTAGGGAACTGTAGCTGAAAAGATTGTTTCCAGTATAATAAGGCAATTGACATTTTTGTTTTTTAAGAAAGCTCCAACTCTATTACACAACCATTTTTTATTATTTCCTTTTATTTTACAGTAGCTTCTTTCTACTACAAATTCACATTCTATAAGTATATTAGATTTGAAATATCTGTAAGAATTATAATAGCATTGGCAGTCATTTTAACAGTTAGCCACATTTGAACAAAGGGCCTAAATAATCACTGTAAAGCATGTATTTGTGAAGTAGGTTTCATAAGTCATTTTAAAATTAAGGCAAACAAGAAAAAAACCCTACAAATACAAATATCAGGGTTTCTCAGATTCTAAATTTATAACACTAACTTAATTACCATTTGATTGACTCTCAAAACAATGGATATTTTCAAAACACAAAGTAGAAAGTTATTAGAAATAACAACTTCAGTATAATGTATACCTATTTCACTAAACATTTTTAAGTTTTGACTTTGGGAAAATGTAAAGATGTAAATGTTTTTATAATTAACTTTTGAAAATATCTGTAATGCCCTAAAATGCAGACATCAACGCATCTATTTCTTTAAACTTGTTAGTTATATTTTCAATACATTCTCCAGCTTTTAATCTTAGCCCATCAATTACAAGATAGTCCTCTTCACAGTGGTTCTCAAGCGAGCTGCCAACAGGAGCTTCAGGGTCACATTTCGATAACTGTAAAAATAATCATACAAGTCATCAAATTTACTTGAAGACCAGGCTTAATTATTTGAACAAAACATAAAGTTGTCAGTAACTCCTTAAGAAGGTGTTCCATTTGCTGGTGGTCAAATAATGATCCCCACATAAAGTATAACGTACAGTAAGTGTGTGAGTGTAAAAATAACATAGTATTTAGTCCTGTCTCTACTCTCCAACATCACACATTTTTAGTTAGTTTTAATTTTATGCTTTGGCAAAATGTGGTCATTAAAATTAAACTTCTGAGAGTTTTCTATATTTGTTTATTTTAAAAATGATTATTATGGGGAATACAAGTTAAAACTGTTTTAGTCACACTCTTCTGTTCTCATTTTCTCATAAGCATCTGCATTCCTTATGAACAGTGAGAGTGTGTGCTAGCTTACTGGGAAAGAACACAGGTAAAGACAATGCAAACACACACACACACACACACACACACACACACGAGATTTACAACTTCAAGGGTCATTAAAGGCGGAGGTAACTTCCCACACAATGTAAGAAAAAAAATACATGCAGTTTATGGGACTTCCCTGGTGGTGCAGTGGTTAAGAATCCGTCTGCCAATGCAGGGGACACAGGTTCGAGCTCTGCTCTGGGAAGATCCCACATGCTGCGGGGCAACTAAGCCCATGCGCCACAACTACTCAGCCTGCACTCTAGAGCCCATGAGCCACAACTACTGAGCCCATGTGCCACAACTACTGAAGCCTGTACACCTAGGGCCCGTGCTCTGCAACAAGAGAAGCCACCGCAATGAGAAGCCTCCACACTGCAACGAAGAGTCGCTGCAACCAGAGAAAGCCCACGTGCAGCAACGAAGTCCTGACACAGCCAAAAATAAATAAATAAATAAATTAAAAAAGAATACATGCAGTTTAGACAAGTGCTTTCATGTATCAAAAATGTACCTTTCATTACAATAATTATTAAAATAATTATTATTCAGTAAACACTGTCTTATCTGTATATGGACTATCTAATTTGTGAATTATTCAGGTAGATTCTTATAATAATCTGAAATTAATTCCTTCCCATTTTTTTCCACGTCAGGGCATGTCAACTAGTGTTAATATTAGCTAAGAACATAATTAATTAGAAAGGTGACTCTACTGAGGAAAATAATCTCATAAAGTATTCCAATGACAAATAGAAATGGATTTTGATTATCCATGTGTGTATGCTTTTTGTTCATGTTGCTACTCTCAATTCATTGGTATAAATACTTGAGAGTAATCGACCTGAAACCTCATACATGAAATGAATGATGAAAACATCATCAAATTTACAACTTTGAAAATAGCTCAAACACTATCTGCCCAGAGAATAAACATGCTCAGAACTTTAAAATGATCAGATGGCTCCTTTTGATGTGTTAGCTTGTAAAGGCCACTTTCTCCTAAAAACAAAACACATCTTCAGTGTTAAGTGGTATTACCTTTGGAAGATATATTAATTTTTCCTACAAACAAAAAAAAGAAATCCCTTAGGTGATCATTTTTTTATTTTTAAGCTGTAAATTGCTCCAGCATTGCTATTCTCCTTATTTAAAAGTGAACAAGGCCCTAAGTACCCTGAACCTGCCATGAATTCCAGACTTGTAAAGCTCAGTGTGGAGAGAAGCTTATGAACCAGTCAGCAGGTGGCACTCACCTGCCTACTACCAGCAATTTAAAATGGTTAAATTTTATAATTTCTAAATGACTTTGAAAGCGTAAAATATTACAAGAATCTAAAACAAAGAGCAAGCTCCTGGCTGGTGATGTATAAAAACTATGTATTTTACCTTAAGAAATAAAAATCAGAAGTAATTTTCTGTTCTATGAAGCTACTAGTTATAATGGCAAAATAGAAGCCAATTCTGTGGCTGTAAAAGCTCCAGGACATTTCTATAAAAATCAACCTGGCTGTATTTTTTTTTTTTCTTTGCGGTGCGCGGGGCTCTTACTGTTGTGGCCTCTCCCGTTGCAGAGCACAGGCTCCAGACACGCAGGCTCAGCGACCATGGCTCACGGGCCCAGCCGCTCCGTGGCATGTGGGATCTTCCCAGACCGGGGCACGAACCCGTGTCCCCTGCATCAGCAGGCGGACTCTCAACCACTGTGCCACCAGGGAAGCCCCTGGCTGTATTTTTGAAAAGACAAACTGATAAGCCTGAAAAAAAAAAAAACAAAACACTGCAAAAATCCATATGGTGCTCAAACAAAACACACATTTGCTAGAAAAGAATAATTTGTATATTAACTACATGTATACAACATATATATCACCAATCTATAGCTCTTGTTCTACAAAGGGTAGGATCTATATAGAGACAACAAGTTTTTTGTTTTTTGTTTTTTTTTTTTTTAAAAAAGGAACTCTAATTGGAAAAATGGCATTCACAACCCATGGAAATTCAAGTACAAGTTGGTATCGCTGACCAAGAAAACATTTATGTTTTCAGCTCAGCAAGTGTTTTTATCATTAATTTTATTTTCCTTGACATTTTGATCTCAACTGTAAATTCTGTATATTTTCTTGATTTCTAACTCAGTCAAGGAGGTATTTAAGAATCATCTTTATTCTTCTTGAAGTTCTGAATGAAATCAGCCAAAGTGGGTAAACAATCTTGTCCACTTACAAATCCACCTTTTCTGCATCTCAGAATAGACAGACTTGGGGATGGGTAGTTCCGCAAAGTGAGAATATGGGAAAAGAGACAAAGTGACAATTCTTAGCTGATACTCTCTCCAGCGGCTGCCACTGACAATTCTCATCTGTAATAACAGCCAACCTTAGGTGTCAATTACTCTGCAAAGCACTTTTCCTGGTTTGCCTTGTTTCACCCTTGGCTAGGCAACCTTGCCAAGTCCCCCAAGTCCTCACTGGCAGGACCAGGATGGGCACGTAGGCACTGTATCCTGAGCCTGTCTCCTATCCACTGCCCTCCTGACTCCAGGCACACTATATACCCAAATGAGGGAATGAGAGAAGGAATGAAACCTTAAGGTTCCAGGGCTCCCCACTGCTGTTTTTCTTCCTAACTACATAGGGAACAGCTGTACCACCTTGTGGAAGCGTCTGCCCCATGACTTATTTTTCTCACACCTGCCACACTGCTGCTCTGTGTTAATGAGCTGGGCTTGTACCTCATTTTATTTGCACAGACATGGAGCTGATGCGCTGAGCAGTGTGTCAACCAACTCAAAATTTGTTTTCATATATAAATATTGAATACAGTAAGCACACATGGCCTTTCTCAGCCCAATATAGTTGACCAAAAGAAAAAGACAATTTAGTTAATAATGGTGAAATAGAGTCCAGTGAAAAACCCCACCTCCAGGATGTTACTAATGAGGTTTGTCCCCATGGAGATCAACCCTGTGCATGAACCAGGCAGAGCAGGTTTCCTGAGCGGCTCTTGTCCTGGCCCTTCTCCTGACTGTAAAGATGGGCACCCTCTTGATGACAGTGAGCCCCTCCATCTCTCTTCATTCCAGACTTAAATATCTAAAATAAAAGAGCTCCTTGGCTCAAATATACTTTTTTCAAAGACTGATAGATGCATCTTGATTTCTCAACAGGCTACTAGTTTATTATTCACCTCATGATAATCAAGGGCTCAAGTTTCAGAAGTGAAAAGCACTTCCCATATAGTGTAAATGAAGATCCAGGAACAATTTCTGCTGTTTAAGGAGTCTGGAGTTGCTGTTTAGGCCTGATGGTCACTATGGACCCTACCTTTTCTCCTGTATCTGTCTCCTCTCTGCGCTCCCCTTCGGAATCATCAGGGGCGGCTGTGGGCTCCCGCGCTTGCTCTAGCATTTGCTCCAGCTCTTTTAATAAAAGTTCTGTCTCAGAGACAACTAAAGAAACAACGTTAATATAGTCAAAAATGTTGTATCTTAATTAATTCAATCTAATTCATACTATTAACCACCCCCAAAGAGGACATTTTCTAAAGTTATGAGATTAAAAAATAAATAATGTTGTATAATTTTCAGATAGGCCTCTGCTTGATGTGAAATTACTATGGATTTCCAGGTGAATCTTTTATATTGAATAATTATTCCTTGAAAAATGTAGGTTACATTCTTGCTATGTGTAGACTATAAAGTATCCCTGAAACATCAAAAGCTCACTAGAAGTTTGCATTTTTAAAATAAGGAGCCAAGGGCACCAAACTAAATTGTTATTTATAGACCGAGGGTCAACAACTTTTTTTCTGTGAAGGACCAGAGAGTAAATATTTCAGGCTTTGTGGGCCAGATGGTCTCTGTTACAGCTACTCAATACTGCTGTTGGATGCAAACCATACACATACACTTAAACCAAATGAGAGTGGCTGTGTCCCAATAAAACTTTATTTACAAGAACAGGCAGCAACTGGTGGACCGTGGGCCACAACTTGTCAATTCCTGCAATAAACTATTAAAGCTACTGTTTAAAAGGGGAAGCCATGTAATTAAGTGGCAAGGCTAAGTCCAGACTAGTCTATTCCTAATCAAAATATCAATGCATCTTAACTGCCTAATCTGATTAAAAAAAAAAAACCCACACACTTATAAAAATTGTGGTTTTTTGGTGCTACTGTGACAGAAATATGTAAGTATGTAAAAAATCTGGTAATTGATTGAACTTGCTGAGATAAAATAATATCCCCATCAAAGAAATACCTATTATAACTCTACAGACTCAATCACTGATTAACAATATCAACTGAATTCCCAATTTAAATAAAACAAACATTTTCATTTGATACCAAGTCTTGTTGAAGTAAAGATAAGGGGAAGGAGACCCGGGTGGCCTGCTCCTGCAAAACAGACTGATGGGGCCCCTGAGAAGTCTTCCAAGGGCAGCATGATTGAAAGGGAAAGGCCACGAACACACACCCCATCACCTTCCACTCTGGTTATACAAATCTGACACACCACCCCTATTATGGACTGCTCATTGGCAAGTAACCAAAAATCACACGAGGTAGAGCAGCTGAAAGTTCATGGAACCCAAGCAGGACACACCCTTCAGCGCTAAAATATTATCAATGAATATATCAACGTGTTCCCAGCAATCATATTAATTTAATTGTGCATGATATACACATCCATTTGTGTGTGTGTGTTTACACACACAGGTATCCTTGTAAACTAAGCATGCTATAAGGTAAAAACAGAGATTATTAACGTGAGACGTTCCAGCTCAAAAGAATTCATATTTTATTACCATCTTCTTTTATTTAATCAGCAAATGTTTATTGTGTGCCTACTAAGGGTCAGGGGCCCCAGAGAAGAGCCACAGACCAACGAGCCTTCCTGGTCATCATCTCCATCTAGCCAGTCTTAGGTTTTCTTTGTGGAAAACTCTCAAAAACAGTTTGAAAGAAGCTTTCTGATAAGCCATTCCATACCTCAGAACCAGTTCCTATGTTTAAAGACAAACAAACAAAAACTGTAACTGACATGTTAGTTGTAAGCACACAGATCTGTGTTAACTGCCAAAGCCTAAGAACACAGAGGATAAGCTATTACATTCTAGAACAATGATATTCAAAATCTAGGGGCACAAGGATCACCTGGAGACTTTATTAAAAAATACGAATGCAACACCATATCTACTGAATCAGAATTTTCTGTAGGAAAGTACATTTTCACTGAATCAGTTTTGTTAATGAGATTAACCTCTCTTTATGACAGATTTCTTACTTAGTAACCTGTCACTTAATAACAACTGTGTGGCTATCTTCACACCAATTCCCCAGTCCCACTCACAGATGTTGGGTTTTCCTACTTTACATTCTGAGTCTATGGAAATTGATAACTGACATTCAGTGCACTGCTGAGAAGGTGTATTTTGAGCTCTGCTGTAAAGGAAAAATGGCACACAAACTTCTTTTTATTTCTAAGACTAGACTAAAATACAATCAATTTATGATAATGAATGTCATTGCCAAGCGCCATTGCAGGCTCTCTGTTTTCAAGTGATCTGGAAAAGTATGTACACTGCCTTTCGATCAAAGGGAAGACAAAGTAATGGATGACTTCATGAATCAACCAGGGTTCATAACACCAACTTGACTGATGTCAAATTCTGCTTCCAGAGCAACAGGAGGCTTGCTTTTCTAAATGGGTATTCCTATACTGTAAACGCAGAGAGTGCAAAAATAATTCTCAGAAATTGCAGTTACTGTAATCTACAAACTAGGTTATCAAAATTGGTCAATGATCTCCTCCAAAGATAGAGAGAGAATGCACGCCTGTGCTAACTGCATGACTAATCAACTTCTATCAATCCTCATTATCCTGTAGTTTTCCTAACTTGCTTCAATTTGTTGAGTGATAGCTGCTCTATCATGCAGAGAAAGTGGAAAAAAAAAAAAAGAAAAGAAAAAAGTATCTCTCATACTGAAGTCCATATCTGGCTTTTAAAAATGACTTTTTATAAAATAAATCAGTGTTTTTTTCCACTCCTGATAAGAAATAACTTACTGTTTATCTCAATAAATCAGTCACTATTTTTTAAAATAAATTTATTTATATTTTATTTATTTTTCACTGTGTTGGGTCTTCGTTGCCACATGTGGGCTTTATCTAGTTGTGGACAGCGGGGGCTACTCTTTGTTGTGGTGTGCATGCTTCTTTTTTTTTTTTAACATCTCTATTGGAGTATAATTGCTTTACAATGGTGTGTTAGTTTCTGCTTTATAACAAAGTGAATCAGCTATACATATATATATATCCCCATATCTCCCTCTTGAGTCTCCCTCCCACCCTCCCTATCCCACAGTGTGCATGCTTCTCATTGTGGTGGCTTCTCTTGTTGCGGAGCAGAGGCTCTAGGGCCACGGGCTTCAGTAGTTGTGGCACGTGGACTCAGCAGTTGTGGCTCGCGGCCTCGAGAGCACAGGTTCAGTAGTTGTGGTGCACAGGGTTAGTTGCTCCGCAGCATGTGAGATCTTCCCAGACCAGGGATCGAACCGGTGTCCCCTGCGTTGGCAGGCGGATTCTTAACCACTGCGCCACCAGGGAAGTCCAATCAGTCACTATTTTAAAAGCCTTCAAATGTATATTTATGAAGTTTTCTTTACTCTCTATTTCTCTATTGAATGTCTAAAGAAGCTATTTCCTCCCTTATATAACGAGGCCACTGGCTGGGTTATTTCAAACCCGGCACTGAAAAATAGCATCTTAAATAAACTTTCAGGGCCATTTCAATGTTGAAATTTTGAAGTCATTCTTACAGAAAAGGAGGGTGAAGAGGAGGAAAAAGCACTTGGTTTTGTTTTGTTTTCAAGTAACCACAAACCCTCCTCTGCGTGTTCATGATTTAAACGTAGAGATGAGTGAAATACAGGCTGAAGTGGAATGAAGAAGAGGACACCTTTCTGGGACACAAACAGAAACAGGAGGCACAAAGGCCGAGAGGTTAAAGGTGACTCCAAGCCAAGAGCAGGTGGGCAAAGTTTGCCTTGAATAGCAAGACAGCACCCTTCTCCCCGTTAGCCTTTTACACCCCAGACCCAGGCCTCAAGCTTTCATCTCCTACTCGGGCTCAGCCACCATCCAGACCTTTCCTATATTAGCCATTCTCTGCCATTCTCACCTATCTCAGACAGCTAATGAACACATCCTTTGCTAACTTATTAATTAATGTTAGTAGATTACTAGTCAATCCAGGGTACTATGTCAATCTTTTATCTATCAAAAGTTTAATACACTGTCTACTTCCCAAAAAGAAATGAGGTATTTACCAACAGAAAACACTGATACAATAAAACAAATGACAAAAACTCAAAGACTGAAAATAAAAGAAGTCAAAATCAATTCATTAAGGAAGATACGAAAGGCATTACATTTAAAAAATGCTTAGACCAACTACCATTGCTGTAAAGAAAAACCATAAATTTAGCTTTAAGCTTCCGGTACTCAAAGCAACCAAGGAAATTGTTGCAAACTTTGATTAATTTTAAGAAGCTATGTGACCTTAGAAAAGTCATGTAACCTATTAAGTACCTCAGTTTCTCCACTGACAGAATGGGCGTTAAAATAATATCTACCTTATCTATCTCATATAGATCTTGTGAGGGTTAAATAAATTGATATATATGAAATGTTTAGAAAAGTGAGGACACATACTAACTGCTACAGGTGTTATCATTATTATTATTGTATTATTATTTCATCATCAATGGATTTTTTTTTTTTTTGGTCCCTAAACACTGAAAAAAAAATATAATACAAGATATTCCGGGTGGCAATTCTCCAAAAAAATACAGACATGCTCCACAAATAGCTATTTCTTAGATTAAGTCTCTTTTTATAACCACTTTTTAAAATTGAAGTATAGTTAATTTACAATGTTGTGTTAGTTTCAGGTGTACAGCAAAATGATATATACATATGTGTATATATATTATTTTCCAGATTCTTTTCCATTATAGGTTATTATAAGATATTAAATATAGTTTCCTATGCTATACAGTAGGCCCTTGTTGTTTACCTATTTTACATATATAGTAGTGTGTATATGTTAATCCCAAACTCCTAATTTATCTCTCCCTCCCGGCATTAGATTAAATCTTTATACAGCCATGAATATACAGTTTAATTTATTTAATGATTCCTCAATTTTTTCTATTATTTTCCAGAAATAGTCCTCTATTTGTCGGATAAGAGGGCTTCTACTGTATCTCTTTATTACAGATGAAGAAACTGATACTTGGAAAGGTAAAGTAGATCCACTTAATTGACTCTCCCTGGGATCTCTAACTAAGGGAAAGAGAGAAGCAACTGTAGAGCATAAAACCCATAATGGAATATCACAGCTGGGGCAGTAGACTAACAGGAGACACATTAGCACCTGGGAGCATAAGGAAAGAGGGTACAAAAGTGGGGTGGAGACTCAAGAATCTGACGGTATAATTTTCCTCTGTTGCTCGATCTAGGACTGATCCTACCTTAAGCTAAGAAGAAATGAGAGATCTCAGAGGCCTGCATCAAGGGATCCACAGAAATATGGGTAGTGGGTAAAAAATTTGAGGAGGGTACAAACTACTGAAAAAGAACTACTCTTTCAGGAAGTAGTCAGCTCTTACAAAGAACACAGAAGACTAGATGTTTCTGTTCTTTAGTTCAAATGGGATTGAGGAGTGGAACACTGATCAGGTAAACTATTTTAACAATTAACTACTGAGACTTTCAGAGCCATACAGAACATGAGACTACTGACAGGGCTTCCCTTTAATGGAAGACTACTGAGATGTGTTCACTCATTTACATGGAAGAGTCATTTCCAGTCAGTGGATTCCTGGCAGGCATGAATTTCTTCTGTAGGATCCTGTGCTAGTTGGAGAGGAGAAGGATCCAGCTGTAGTATCAGGGTCACCTGGTGGTAACTCAGCCTAGGGCTAAAATGACTTTTGATATTTCTACAGGAATATCTGAAAAGATGTGAGGCAAAGGAACAAAATAACCAAAAAAGAAAAAAAGCACCTTAAATAGCGGGAAAGCAGTAGCAGAATAAGTTTAAGAAGAGATAGAAACAACGGAATTTTGTAGTGGTTTAGGAGAGGAGCCAAAGAAATTTCTTTTTAAAAAATAACTACCTCGGGCTTCCCTGGTGGTGCAGTGATTGAGAGTCCGCCTGCTGATGCGGGGGACACGGCTTCGTGCCCCGGTCCGGGAAGATCCCACATGCCGCGGAGCAGCTAGGCCTGTGAGCCATGGCCACTGAGCCTGCGCGTCCGGAGCCTGTGTTCCACAACAGGAGAGGCCACAATAGTGAGAGCCCCGCGTACTGCGCAAAAAAAAGAAAAAACAAACAAACAAAAAAAACCCTACCTCGTCCTTCCTCTGCCTGCTTTCCTTTCTTTTACTGAGACTGAAAACAAATGGCGTATTTAGCCAATGGAAATGAGAGCCCCGTAGGATCTTGGGGTGGCTTCAAGGAGAGGGAGTGTGGCACAATGACTTCTCTGGGTTTAACTGGCTTTGAAACCTCTTTGTATGGCTGCCAAAGTTCCACCTAGCAAACAAGCATGTGCCTGCTTTTCAAGACCAACGAAAATGTAGGAAAAGTAAAGTGCTTTTGAAAGTGAAGAGCTTCTCCCTGCAGGCGACATTCTCCCTACTGTGGTCTAACTCCAATGGCAATTAATTCAGCTGGAAGCCCTAGGCTGCTGCTTTTCTTCCTTCTCCCCCTTTGGCACCCCTAGGACCCCAATAAATATGGACTAGATAAGTCTGGATTGAAGCGTATTGATGCTGGTATTTCCTCCCACAACTGCTGATGCTTTATTTTAAAAAATTAAATATATGACAAAGCCAGAGAAAATTTAATTCGAGGGAATAGAAACCTGAAGACAATTGAAAATCCCTAGTATGTAAATCAATACCAAAAACCCACTAATGTTTCTCATATATGTATACATGTACATTTTTTTTCTTCAAAGGAATACAATTATATGTGGTGAAATTAAATACAGGTAGAAGAACTAAAAGCAGGACAGGCCTTCACATACCCATGTTTTCCTTTGATAAGGCATCATCTGAACAAACATTTTCAAAAGATGATTTTAAAATAGCTTTCCTAGAAAAAGAATTTGACAGATTTATTTTCAAAAGATCAGGCATGTATATTTAAATATCTGTTCATGCATATTCATTGGTAACTGTAAATTATGAGTATATATTTCCTACCTTGGGGTACTTTTTCTTTGTTGTTGTACACAGTAAGTAAGGCAGTGAAAAACAAAATAATACTGATCTGAGCTCTCACTAGGTGAAAACCACTAGTAATCTACCCAGCACCTTACAAAGCCTTTTTCGTGTAATCCTCCCTCCAAAAACCTACCAATTGTTACTCAGAGGAACTAAGAAATTTGACAACATAGGAAAATGGTTGAACGTGACAGTACTAAATTCTGTCAGACTGCAAAATCCATGCTTTTCCCACTACACCATGTTGCTGATTTAGAGTCAGAAAACATCTGTTCAAACGCATTTTCTCTAACCAGAAGATCTTGAGAAAGTCACTTAAATTCTTTAAGGCACAAATTCTTCATCTTTTAGGTGGAGATAATTATGATATACCCCTATCTATTTGATGGGGTTACTGTGAAGTGTCAAGATTAGGAAGTGAAAGTCCTTTTTAAAAATTTAATTATTCATCTTCTAATAAAGGACAAAGAAGAAGAGAAGGACTGTCATATTAGGCCAGTCTTTGTCTTTGAGTAGGACTCCTTTTCACATAACACTGATTACTATTCATTAAAAAAATAAATAACCTGTATGGCTGGTTCAGTGATAAACACTAAAACTTGTCATCAGTGACTCATTATAAAGGCTTATTTCTGGTTTGCATTACCTATTTTTAAACTAAAAACCTGCTTCTTATCTGGTTGCTCACATGATATTAATCTTTGAAACTTATAGTTCAACACATTTGTACCAACATAAAACTTTCTCCATAATTCTAAGCCTACTACTTATCATTTTATTAATTCTTTTAGAAAATTTAAAACGTATTTCCCTAGAGAAACAAAATTAAGAACCAGGGAGAAATGTCATATAAAAATTAAACCCAATATATATATATTTCAATTTTATCATAATAGTTTTTAATTTAAAAAAGCATACCTTTTCCTAAATTTGGGCTTTTTCTTTTGAGTATTATTTTTGGAAACTTGCATCTGTAAAGTAACAACACAAAAAGATCAGTTAGCTCATATGGGATACGATGAGTTCAGCATAATAATGGATCCTATATGGTCTGAGTAAGTTAGCCCAGAATAAAAACTCTGGTCCCCAGCCCTGAACAACATATGTAATTCTAAGTCAGCCACTTCATCATCACTGCAATTCCACTGACCTGCTCAACTTCTAGGAATGCTCGACTCATCCAGTACAAATGCCTACCCCCTATATCCACTCTCCCTTCCTCACCTTCCACAAATACACAAAAATACTAAGTAAAACTACTTTTAAATTTTAATTCATATATGATCTTTAAAGAAAGAAAAATTCAGATGCCAGAAACATGTGGAATGCAAAGCTATATAGGTGGGAACTGACATGGTGAAGACCCACTGAGAATTTATACCAGAAAAGGGCCAAAAGGGCTTGGGACTGGGGTTTTAATGTCTAAGCAAGGACAAGATGAAGGATGTGGAGGAACTGGAACCCTCGTACATTGCTGGTGGGAATGTGAAATGGTGGAGCCATTTTGGAATACTGTTTGACAGTTCCTCAATATGTTAAATGTAGAGTTACCCCATGATGCAGCAATTCCACTTCTAGGTATATGTCCAAGAGAAATGAAAACATACGTCAATGTAAAAAATTATATTTGGTCATAATTATGAAACTATGAATGCGCATAACAGCATTATTCATAATAGCCAAAAAGGTAGAAACAACCCAAATATCCATTAATGGATAGATATGTGATATATCCATGTAATGAAATATTACTCAGCCTTTAAAAATACTGAAGTACTGACACATACTACAACGTGGATGAATCTTGAAATCATTACGGTAAGTGAAAAGTTGAAAAAAAGTCAGACACAAAACGCCATGTTGTATGATTTCATTTATCTGAAATGTCCAGAAAAGGCAAATCCATAGAGACAGAAGTAGATTAGCGATTGCCAGGGACTGAGGGGATGTAGAAATGGGCAGCGATTCCTAATGAATATCAGGTTCCCTTTTGGTGGTATGAAAAAGTGTTCTGAAATTAGATAGTGGTATTGGTTGACAACTGAATATACTAAGAAACACTGGATTTTACAATTTAAAGGACTGAATAAGTTATATCTCAATGAAGGTAAAAAATTTTTTTAATGCAGTGACATGGAAAAATTGAAAGTAAGTAGATACAATGTATCAATGATTATTAACAAAGGGAATACTGCTACAGTATTACTGGTAGAAAAAAGCAGATATTAAGGCAAAAAGCATAATCAGAGATAAAAAGGTTATTACTTAATGCTAAAAGAAACAATCTACCCCCAAAATATTAGTCCTGAACCTGTATATACCAAAATCTTAGCCTTAAAATATACAGAGAAACAGAATTACAAGTAGAAACTGATGAATTTACAGTTAAAAGGGGATATTTTAATTTATTCTTATAAAAAATTATATCCTAATAATCACTCAGGGGAAGTTTGTATGAAACATTCAGGGAATTCATATTATTATGATGCTAAAGAGTAAGTGATCTTCTTTTTGTGATCTACAACCTCAAGGTAATATTCAAATAGTTTTTCCAGGACTGTTATATATCTATATGTTAAAAAATATGTATAGAAATACTGTTGTCTAAATCATTGAACTACATCTCCAAAAACAATGTAATGCTATTATTTCTATCTTGTTATTAAGGATCAGCTTATATTACATGCATATTTGAGTATGAATTGAAAGACTGGTCACAAGTGGAAATGAAATTCAGGTAACAAAGTGAAAACTGCTTTATAGGTACTAATAGAAAGAAATACTGCTAGACGACTACCATAAATTACAGTGAGTTGTGCTGGTCATAATAAATTCCTTTTCTCCTTTGTTAAATACTCCATAGCAGCCAAAATGGACTAGTCAGTATTTGCCAAACGCCCTGTGCTTTCCTGCTCCAGCCTTTGACAACGTATGATGGATGGAGAAGGGCACTGCATCTGGAAGGAGAGGGTCTTGATCTGGATGCTGAGTCTGGCACCTACAAGCGGGATCACCTTTGGTAAGTCACTGACTACTCTAACATCCAGCAAGAGCCTGGCGTAAGGCAGACACTTAATAAATATTTTCTGACTAAATGACCATTCTGCATTTCAGGGTCTTCTTTTGTTAAATAATGCTAAAAAAATAACTACCTCAAGGCATTTGAGGGAAGATTAATTACACAACATACCAGGAAGTATCCAACAGTATTTGGCAATTAGTTGATGTTCAGTCACTGTTTCATTGTTATACTAGTCCACCAGGTCAGTGTCAGAACTCTACCCTTTTTCCTTAGACCATACGACAGAGGGAACTTGGCACTTTGATATGGCTGGACTTTGGTAGTGTATTAGTTTCCCAAATCTGCCATAACAAATTACCACAGATTTGGTAAAGCATCAGAAAATTATTGTCTTACAGTTCTGAAGGATAGATGTCTGTCTCATAAGAACACTTATCGTTGGATTGAGGGCCCATATTATCCAGGATGAGCTCATCTCAAAATCCTCACCCAAAGGATTTGCAAAGATCCTTATTTCAAATAAGGTCACATTCTGAGGTTCCTGGTGGACGTATCTTTCGGAGGCCACTATCCAACCCAGTACAAGTAGACACTAAAGATTACTTTACCTAATCTATCTCTTCCCCTTCTCTTCCTGTGCTGCACAGCTGATTCTCCTATGTTGTCCAGTC